GAACTGGACGTGAAGGACATGCTGGTTTTCTGGGAATATGAACTATGCAGAGGCAGATGGATACGTTTCAGTAGAGCTATCACGGAAAAATTGAAGTACGTGAATGAATTCCACAGATTGTTTTCTTCTTGTAGTTTTCAATTCATTGTCTCATTTGAGTTGACACAAATGAATTCAATATATTCGAACAGTGATATGAACTTGGAGGTATACAACTTTCTTGGAGGTAAATCATAACTTAGCTTTGGCTTGTTGAATTCGAATCAGCAGGTGAATTATTCAGAGCAGAGTTTTCGGATATTTGAACTTCTCAGTCAGTGACATAGTATCGTGGACAGTCACAATTGAACCGTGTGTTTCAGTGCCGCAGGCGTTGATGAGGCCGTGGAAATGGAGCTTGATGAATCTAATCTGAAAATCGATAAACACACAATGAAGCAGCGTAATCTAACAAGTGGTTATGTCAGATCGATACGTTGTGCGATCAAGGAGAACGAAAATGGTTCGTTTAACATTATTTTGTTTCGAATTTCTTTTCGTAACATTTCAATTTGATTCGTCTTTATTCATTATTGCAAANGTTCGTTTAACATTATTTTGTTTCGAATTTCTTTTCGTAACATTTCAATTTGATTCGTCTTTATTCATTATTGCAAATACTTTTGTACTGAAGAATAACTGAAGTCTTGGAATCTTGATTTAGATGTAAATTTGTTCAAATGAGAATTTTCATGCTTCACAGCAGAATTTTTTTTGTTTTCAGACGATGACTGTCACGTATGGGAATTCATTGATGCTAAACGTCGATGGAAAAGTTTCGATTCGGAGTCAGCCAAGAAGTTGCATCGTGCCAATAAAGAAGGCATATCGGATATTGAAATTTCTCTGGATGGAATCGACTTTACAGTGGACTTGGATGCGAGTTTAATGAAGAGTGAAGATGGCACAAAGGAATATAAGGTGCGTGAATGTTAGTTTATCTTCGTTGATGATTTATTTATTCGCAAACAAAAGTCGTGATTATTATGTGATGCGTTTTGAAAGTTGGTCCAGTTTTGCTAGTAGGAAATTGAGTTCATCAATGTACATACGATATTTGGATTAAAGGTGGAGATGAGGCTAGAGACAATTCAAACGATGAATATTTGAGATGCTGGGATATGATAATATTGGGATTGGTTACGCTGATAGTACTGATGGTGAATTAGAGTCAGTGGTGCGAATGATTTGTAATTCAGATCCGGCGTGATGTTTCGAAAGCGGAACCAGCGATGAGTGCCAGTCCAGCACCGTCGGCTGCAACAACACGTTCAATGATTAAGCGAAAGGCCACATCTCCATCAGATAGTGGTGCATCCGATGCGGGAACAGCTCAACAAACATCTACAACTGCTGTGAAAAAGTCTAAAACCGTGTGTTTTTGTAATTGATTCAACCTATTGATAGACTGTTTTCATTTCTTAGAATGTATTTTGAATTCTCAGATAATTTATGAGTATCAGAATTATAATTGTATAGCTACTTGACGCTTTGGTAAAATCACTCTTCATCAATTCATGATTATTTTTTATAATGTTTGCATTATAGACTGCAACAACAAAGGAGGAACCAGAATCCAAGAAAGCGTCTACTAGCAAAAAAGCAAGTGGGCCCAAGAAATCAGAGCCGAAAAGCGGTATTCCTTAAATTATTTCGTATGCAAAGAGAAATTTTTTGTAGGATTTGTTTCGTTAACTGATATTTCACGAAATGAATTCCCAGTCATTCAAATGTTATAAGCCATTGTGCAAAGATGTGATAAGCTAGTCGAGATTCGTGCGCTCCATATCGTTGTTCAGATTTTTCTTGTTTTCGCAGAATGTCAACATTTGGGTAATTTAAACATGCTTTTATTATAGTGTTTTCTTTTTTTCAGTTTCTTAAGATAAACGTTTTTTTTAAGATGGCAAAAGTCAAATGCGTAAAATGTTGCTGAAAGGTGGAGCAGCTGTAGATCCGGAATGTATTNTGTTTATACAGAAGGAAAGGATATATACGATGCTATGCTCAATCAGGTGAGTGATGCTTTTATCGTTTTCTAACATTTTGTGTAATCGCAGATAACTTATTGTAAAAGTTTTTTGCTTTTGAAAATTAAATTGCTTCAATAGTTTTATAGGTATATACTGAACGCAATAATAACAAGTACTATATTATTCAACTGTTGGAAGATGATACTGAAAAACGATACTCAGTGTGGTTGAGATGGGGACGTGTTGGCTATAAGGTAGCGATATCCTTGTTTCTTGCTTCTCATATCATTTTAAAGTAAAAATAGCAGTATTTTTGCATGTTTTCCATTAGAGTGGTAAAATGACTGGCTATGGTCAATGTGCTTGTTTCCAGGGCCAAACCAATCTTGTTGGATGCGGAAACGATTTGGAGAAAGCGAAAAAATTATTCTGTCAGAAATTCAGTGACAAAACGCATAACGATTGGAGTGAGAGGAAGAAATTCAAGAAAGTCAGTGGAAAGTACGATTATCTTCCGGTACGTTCGGCTGTTCATTTTTGATGTATCTGGTTTAAAAATTCCACAGAAGCACGGTTTCAGTTCATTATCCATTTAACATTTCGTCGTTTGACGACGTTGTCACTAAATTATAGCAAATAATGGTTTTCATTTTCTATCGGTGTTGCGTACGTAATGTTCTATATTGTTGTTAATGAAGTGGTAACTGATTTTGCATACGGAATGCTTTGCAGTGTGCAAATATGATATTGGTGAATGTGTTGAACGTTAGCACAGCAGTTTACTGAGTTGATGTTGTACTCTTACAGGCTGACTACTCGAAATTACTCGAAGAGAAAAAGA